GGACGGACGGACGGACGGACGGACGGACGGACGGACAGATAGATAGACAGACAGACAGACAGAGACAGACAGATAGATGGACGGACAGATAGACAGACAGATAGACAGATAGACAGATAGATAGATAGATAGATAGATAGATAGATAGACGGACGGACGGACGGACGGACGGATAGATAGATAGATAGGTTTTAAACAGGAAGAGCAGCAGTTTTGAGAAAAGAAAATGCAAATGTTAAAAATAGAAATGCAGGACCATTGCCAAATCATGAGAGAATTACAACAAAAAATTAAAAAGTTCTTGCCAATTAAAAAGGCTTAATTCTGTCTATAAAGGATGTTTATAGACTTTTTAGTGATCTTTTCAAAGAGATAATATATGCAATCCAGTAATTGCCTTGATAGACTAGATACTAAAAATAAACAAAAAAAGTTGTGCCATATTTAATTTATTCTTTTATGAACAGCCAGTCAGTAACTAAACACATTTAACTTGTAAAATAAAAACCAATTCATATATGATTGTTTTAATTTATTATGTGTATTTAAATCTTTTAAATAGTATTTTTATAATTATTTTAAATTAGTATTTTTATGAATTAACTTTTTTTAAATGTATAATTAATTATAATTTTACCATTTATAATAAATTCAGTATTTCAAGTAGTTTAGGCAAGGAAGAGGTGAGGATCTAAATGCAGCAATAATTTAATGAACACAAAACAATAAAAAAAAAGGCAACAAAACAAGGAACTAAACCAAAACCACGCAACAGCTACACACAGAATGTATAGACAGCGACCGACGAACAAAGATTGAAACACAGGGGTATAAATACACAGGGTAACAAGAGGCTAATGAGTAACAGGTGAGACTAATGAATTACCATGGGAACAAATGAAGGTTACTAAGGAGACAAAGGCAACAGAGGAAACAGGAACTAAACAGAGGAAGACAGAACACAGGAACAATACATCAAAATAAGAGTCAATAACACAAAACAAGGGAACATGTAACAATTTGTTGAAGTTTGTAAAATTGGTGAGGACTACTGTAAATCAGGTATCATGACAGCACTGATTTAACACCTTGTCGTCTGATTTTTAGTTGTCCTCTAGCTAGGGCTGTGCGGTTTTTCAGATTTTTTTTATTAATTCTAATTTAATGTATTGCCACGATTCAATTTTTTTTATAAATTGAGGAATCTTGATTTTGAATAGAAATATTTCCAAACGTTAGAATTAGACATTTGGACAATATGACAATGATAACTGTAAAGAGAAAATAATTATCCAACTGCATGTCGGCGCACGTGATTAACCGCTCATGTGTGACGCGCTCATATGGTTAGGTGCTATTCACACTGAATGCGCTTTTGTGTTGACAAAGATGCGACGCAGGCAGTGGAAGAGGAAAAACATGCTAGAAGATGGGAGTTAGCTTCTGTTAACTTGAGCGCAGCGTTTTAAGACTGCAGTTTAATGCATGAGACGCAAGCGCAACAGTCAAACACGTCCATGTTTACAAAGAAAAAACAATGGAAAAGCAGCGCAAGCAAATAAAAAAACCTGTAACTACTGTATGTCTGATATTTCATGTTTGCATCATGGTGACAGGCTGAAAGCTGCTGTTGTTTTTACAGAACATTTACAGTCAATAATAGTCTACTGGTGTTATACCTTCAGTCATTTTTTGAATAACCTTGACTTTTGAGAATTTTAAAGCATTTTCCTCATATTATTTCTGAACATATAATATGTATAAGACAAGTTTGTGCTAGATATAGGTGTCATTAAGGCGTCTTTTCTGCAAAGATATTTAACAAGTGATTTGTTTAACATTTACATCATGTTTACAACTTCATGTGTGGTGCACTTGGAATAGAATTTTCTTTAACTAGAGGGTTAATAAAGAAAGTGTGTGCGTGTGTGTGTCTTGTCTGTCTGTCTGTCTTTGTGTGTGTCTGTCTGGCTCTGTGTGTGTGTGTGTGTGTGTGTGTGCGTGTGTGTGTCTGTGTGTGTTCTCAGGCTCTGGGTCAGGTCGGGAAGGTTTTGAAGGTGTATGCAGACGGTGACCTGCGCGTGGCGTTCGGAGGTCAGACGTGGACCTTTAACCCCGCGTGTCTCTCTGCGCAGCGTGGCGAGGTCGACGCCAATCTGATGACGGCTGAGAACTCCAGCGAATCAGGAAGTAAGAATTCACAGGAAGTAGCTCCTCACTGTCCGCCCAGCTCATAATTACACAATGATCACAGTCACTCACAGTCACAATTTTTACTGGACTTTCTCTTTAACTCTTTCACCGCCAAACACAGACATTTCCGGGTTTCCATGTTATACACTCGGGGACGCTATTACGGTTCTCCTGAAAGAGTTTAGAATCACTCGATCAAAAACACAGATGAGGAAGACGCAGAAACATGTGATCTCGTATGTAAGCATATGCATATGAAAAATAATGCGATTATCAACAATAAACAGCATATAAATGAAAACTGCCTAATGTTATAGAGTGAAATGTTGATCCACGAAGTGGTAAAGGACTGTGCAAGCTTAGGGAGTGCTGATGGAAGCCATCTACTGCACATTTGCTTTGATAATATTACTGAATATGATCCAGATGTAGTATTTGATAAAAAAATGCAATTTTCTCAGCTTTTTGCTCAAAATGTTGCTTTTTTTTAATGAAACCTACCTACATTCAAGTTTTGTCAAAAAAGAATGCTTGAAGCTAGAATAAAACAGATGTTTTGTTTAAAAGTAGATGCTCTCTTCTTTATTTTGATGTATTGCATGTTCAGATATTCATACAACAAAATATTCTGGTGGCCATGAAATTTTTGTGAAAATAGTCAAAAATGCTGGCAGTGGCTGGCAACTTTTTTCAAAAACGCTGGCGGGGAAAGAGTTAATGTAAAAGAGAAGATAAGCATGTCCTCTGTTCTCTTCCACACTGTCCTGCATGATACCAACGCTTGTTTTTCTCGTTTCAGCACCGTGTGTTTTTAGTGTATCTCTCTCTCTTTTTCTCTCCTTTACATGCTGTGCCAGTGCTGGACAGTTTGTGATGTTTGATGCATGGTGACATTTTGACTCATTCTGACTGGTTTATAGAGGGTTTAGAGCTGTAGGACTGTAACACTAAACCCTTCTCTGAACACAGAATGGAGATGTCTCTTTCTCACTGTCGTTCAGGTACGGTCATTTCAGTCCTGGAGAAGCTGCTCTCTCAGTCCACGGAGCAAGATCATCCAGGCCGGCTGGTTATCGAGGCGGCTCACGGGAATGCCGTTAAAGTGCGTGAACTGGTGCAGAAATACCCTGAGAAGGTTAGTGCCTCATAGTCTGATTTAGTGGAAAGAAACCGAATTTTGTTTGCATGGGTTGTCCTATGGGAGGGAATCTCCAGACGTTTCAAGTTATTTCTAGCTCTCTCTGTCTGAAGGGTTATAGCCTTTCCCTTTATAAACACACAGACCACTAGAGACGGCCTTACGCTGCCTAGCAGTGCTCAGCTCTTTATCTGCGTTTTCAAGGAAAAAGCATCCTCTCTGTAAGATACTGTACTAGAGACTACAGACGGCTGGTTAAAAAGACAGTTAATAAAGAACAGCTGTCCTCAGTGGGATCTTTTTCTGATTAAGCTGATCATAACTAGATAGTTTGGTAGACGTTAAAGGACTAATTCACGGGCCATTTGAGATAGAGATGAGTATGTTTCTTCATCAGATTTGGAGAAATGTAGCATTGCATCAGTGTCTCAGCAATGGATGCTCTGCAGT